GATTGGTCTGACATAAGTGGTATACAGGGTCGTGAGCGATTCCTTACACAAGTTTCTAAAGGCAGTTCTTATATTGTCCAGTCTAGCAAATGCCGCTGATGATATCCTGTATTCACCTAGTTGTGCTTCCGAGGGTTGAGCTCTGGCTCTTTGGTCCCGCCTCTCAACTGTCAATCAACTGATGTACAAATTCCTGAGCCTACTGAGCTCTTATTATATCAACATTTGAAACTGTGTATGGAGTCAACCTCCACCACATCACTGCCTAATGCATTCCATCTGTTAACTACTCTGACACTGAAAAAATTCTCATGCCTGTGGCTCATTTGGGTACTCAATTTCCACCTGTGTCCCCTTGTTCGCGTTCCATCAGTGTTAAACAGTTTATCCTCTTCATCCCTGTCAATTCCTCTGAGAATTTTGTAGGTAGTGGTCATGACTTCCCTTACTCTTCTGTCTTCCAGTGTCGTGAGGTGTATTTCACGCAGCTTTTCCTCGTAATGCATGCCTCTACTTGGACTAGCCTAGTGGCACACCTCTGAAATTTTTCAGAATCTAGTGTGTGTGTGGGGGGGGGGGGGGGGGGTTGAGCTCTGGCTCTTTGGTAAATGATGTGTGGTATGTGTGGCACACACACACATACTATTTGGTATGTGTGTGTTCCTTGCATATTGTGGTAAATAAATGTTGTTTAGCTGTGTACATATTTAGACAAGCACTTGTTCGTGCTGAGAGACGCCCGCAGACGGTGATGGCTGTGGTGCAAGAGGTGGACGAGGACCTCCGTTCCCTCTTATCTTTTACGCTGAATCAGTTTCCCCAACTTCAAGAGGATGTCATATTTACCCACTGTGGTTTGCTGCTGTCGTGACCCATGAGTGGGTGAAGTGGGCCCTAGCCCACTCCAGTTGTAAACTCCATTTTATTTTATTTTGTTCAATTTAAGTCTGAAAATGTAAGTTTGATTTACAATGCTGTGCACCTGTTTTGTCCATCCAGAATAGTAGTAACGATTTGTTAAAAATGTTGCGAATAAATGAATAAATCCTCTGTGGCATAGTAAATGCCAGGATCCGCAATGGGCTATTGTTTACCTATTGCAACAGGCAGTTGCTAGTGTCTAATCTCCCAATCCTGAGTAATCCACGTGCAAAGTCTGGGAATGCTAACCGAGATATAATCTCCCACATAATATTTCTGGAGATCCGGTCATTAGACCTGTTAGTTTGAGGAATAAGGAGCATAGCAATTACTTTATTCACTTTCGTATCCTTGAGGATAGACTAACCATCCTGCGACATGGAAATGATAATATCACAAAGTATGTAACTCGCCATAGGAGTGTATAGTCTAGGGTAGCCATGTATATATGACCCTGTTCCTTAGTATCACATAGCCAGCTCTTCACACAAACTATGTAACCCTTCATAGTGGCTTGGGTAGCTGTATAAATATGCATGTCAAGTATGTTAATGCAAACAGCGTCTCTCAATCGACTTGAGAATGAATGGTCCAGGACGGACCGAAACGTCGTCGTCCCTTCACCTTCTAGTGTGAGGTCTGGTCAACTTACTTTAGCCACGTTATTGTGACTCATCGCCTCCATGTTAATACAATAATTGATATATAACTCTCTAGTAGGTAGCAAAATGCACAGGGATGATACTGATGTAGAAAAACACCCAGAAGAGAAGCTAGGCTTCTCTTCCTTTAGGCTTTTTTTAAAAAAAGAGCTAGGCTTTAAAAAAAAAAGCTAAAAAAAAAGCCAAAAAAAAACCCTTAAAAAAAGCTAGGCTTTTTTTAAGTTGATAAAACCTCGCATGGCTAAAAGTCTTCTATTAAACCCTACATTGTGTAGCTATTTAAAAGTACTACATCAAGGTACTACTACATGTCTAAAAATAGTTAACAAATCAAATGGGAAAATCATACGTGGGGCTTGGAGCATTGTCAGGGTTAAGACCTCTTATCTCCTTGGGTGTTTCTGTACTGTTTCGCAGACATCAGTGTGTGAAAGATTAGGTTTCCTCAAGCATTTATTCAACCACTTACGAAACCTGATGAGCATTTCTAGAGACGTCAGAACAGCGTCTATATTTTGGACACAGATGCTGAGAGAAACTAAGATTCACATGTGAAATGTACTACTGGTGAACTTCCGTTGGATGCAACCCACAACAGTTGCCTAACTCTCGGGGTATCTGTTGACCAAACCACACACTAGAAAGTGAAGAGACGACGACGTTTCGGTCCGTCCTGGTTCATTCTCACAATCGACTTGAGAATGATCCAGGACGGACCGAAACGTCATCGTCCCTTCACTTTCTAGTGTGGTTTGGTCAACATTTTTCAGCCACGTTATTGTGACTCCTCGTCTGCATCTCGGGTATCTATTTACTGAAACAGGTGAAAGGAGATGTGCCCAACCGTTTCTGTCCAGCTTGAGGGTTGAACTTGAGTCCTCTCGGTTGTGAGTCTAGGACGTAGACCACTGTGTTTTTAGGGCCCCATATGAATGTGTCATGGGTGCAATATATGAATTGATGGGGATTAATTGGCATATGCAAGAGAGTGCATCGCTGCGATAATCTTTGTGTTGGTTTTAATCACTGAGAATTCCGAGGTGTTAAGAATAGTGTTCTGAACAAAGCGTTTGTGAAGGTGATCTCAAAGCCCTCATCTCCCCCCTGACACTCTGCTCTCAACCCCCTCATCTCCTCCCTGACACCCTGCTCTCAAGTCCTCATCTCCCCCCCCTGACACCCTGCTCTCAACCCCTCATCTCCCCCCTGACACCCTGCTCTCAACCCCTCATCTCCCCCCTGACACCCTGCTCTCAACCCCTCATCTCCCCCCTGACACCCTGCTCTCAAGCCCTCATCTCCCCCCTGACACCCTGCTCTCAACCCCTCATCTCCCCCCTGACACCCTGCTCTCAAGTCCTCATCTCCCCCCCTGACACCCTGCTCTCAACCCCTCACCTTCCCCCTGACACCCTGCTCTTCCCCCCTGACACCCTGCTCTCAACCCCCTGACACCCTTCTCTTCCCCCTGACACCCTGCTCTCAACCCCCTGACACCCTGCTCTTCCCCCCTGACACCCTGCTCTCAACCCCCTGACACCCTGCTCTTCCCCCTGACACCCTGCTCTCAACCCCCTGACACCCTGCTCTTCCCCCTGACACCCTGCTCTCAACCCCCTCATCTTCCCCTGACACCCTGCTCTCAACCCCCTCATCTCCCCCCTGACACCCTGCTCTCAACCCCCTCATCTTCCCCCTGACACCCTGCTCTCAACCCCCTCATCTTCCCCCTGACACCCTGCTCTCAACCCCCTCATCTCCCCCTGACACCCTGCTCTCAACCCCCTCATCTTCCCCTGACACCCTGCTCTCAACCACCTCATCTCCCCCCTGACACCCTGCTCTCAACCCCCTCATCTCCCCCCTGACACCCTGCTCTCAACCCCCTCATCTTCCCCCCTGACACCCTGCTCTCAACCCCCTCATCTTCCCCCTGACACCCTGCTCTCAACCCCCTCATCTTCCCCCTGACACCCTGCTCTCAACCCCCTCATCTCCCCCCCTGACACCCTGCTCTCAACCCCCTCATCTTCCCCCTGACACCCTGCTCTCAACCCCTCATCTCCCCCCTGACACCCTGCTCTCAACCCCTCATCTCCCCCCTGACACCCTGCTCTCAAGTCCTCATCTCCCCCCCTGACACCCTGCTCTCAACCCCTCATCTCCCCCCCTGACACCCTGCTCTCAAGGTGAGCTAGACTGTACGAGCCCTTCGTGAGGTAGACGAATAAACTGTATACTTACTCTCATTAATGTATGACAAGATTAACTCCTTCACGAACATCCACGTGTCTTTCCTCAGTGTTCAAGGTGATGAGACGCAGCGATACGCAGGTTTTTTATATTATTAACTCCTGAACTGCAAAGCTGTTTAAAAATACCCAGTCGATAAGCACCCGCTTGTAAATTCTCTCTTTCTCTCCCTTTCAAGAACAAGACGACACAGATTCAAGCACAGATTGAAGCTAAGGAAACAAAGGTGCCAAAAAAAAACATTGGAAAGTTTTATTTTGCAGAGTGGAAGACTGTTGGAACAAGTTAAATGAGAAAGTGGTAGAAGGCCAAAACCATCAGTAGTTTCAAAACATTAAACGACAAAGAGTACTGGGAGGACGGGACACCACGAGCGTAGCTCTCATCCTGTAACTACACTTAGGTAATTACACACACACACAGACAAAGGGCAATAAATAACAACACGGGTCCCATACGGTACTACAGTCCTCCGGCTTGGTGGCTTCACTTGATAATCACTTACTAACAGCTCTTACTACCTGGGGCCAGATTCACGAAGCAGTTACGCAAGCACTTACGAACGTGTACATCTTTCCTCAATCCTTGACGGCTTTGTTTCCATTTATTAAATAGTTTACAAGCATGAAAACTTCCCAATCAACTGTTGTTATTATTATAAACAGCCTCGTGGTTCTTCGGAGTTCATTAACTGTTTAATAATTGTAAACAAAACCGCCAAAGATTGAGAAAGGATGTACAGGTTCGTAAGTGCTTGTGTAACTGCTTCGTGAATCTGCTGTACTGACAGACAGAATTATCCAGGAACTCCACAATCACAGCACCCGGGTACCGCTCGTCGAGGGGCAACTTACTGAATGGAAACACACTTTCACAGAGCTGCGCATTCAATGTATTTTAAATCTTATCTGGCTCATGTTTCAGACTTTTTTTTTTAGAACTACTTTCCATAGATTTAGCTTTTCCCGGCCCATCTCTTTTCTCAAAGGTATATTAAATTTTAGATATTTAAATATATTTGATGGCTGAAATTTTATCTTCCATTTAAGATATGAAGCCAGAAGACACGAACTTTCAGGTCTTTTAACGGAATGTTCACATTCCCTAGAACAACAGTATGCAGCATTATGTGTATATAACAGTGGGATATATGAAACATTTGCACATTATTTACAATGTTTAATAAAAATATAAATTTTTAATTTACATATATACATTCAGTGACTAGCAACAAATAACATAGAAATGATCATGTAATGTAACTGGCAGGCAGTGTTTGGCACTAACGTACATAGTATATCACTTGGTGTAGGTGGTGGGTGTAGAAGCTACTGGTAGTGTAGCAGTTGACGGGGGCAACGTTACTCGAGGGTGTAGTAGCCTAAGGTGACACTGGTGTGTGTTGTGTTAACACAGGCGCTGTATGCAGGTGGTATCGTGGGTGTAAATTACAGAGGCATAGAACAGGAGGTAATTCTGCACATGGTCAAACCTTTAACAAGAAACAATGTTGCAAAAACAATAAACACTCAACCCCACACATATGAAAAGAAGGAAAATGACGAGGTTTCGGTCCACCCTCGACCCTTATCACGTACAAAGTGTGACTTCATAAGGGTCCAGGATAGACTGAAACGTCATAACTTTCATACCATTTCATATGTGTGGGTTAGGATATTTGCATTCTAATTTGCTCGGAAAAGCACATACCTCTCCTGATTTAAATAATTCCACAATTAACACGTTATTAAGAATACGAGTAACAGGTATAGATAAACAGTAAACCAAATTTATTAACATGTGGAAGTAAAGTATAAATAAAGTAACGAGGGTATAAGGCAACTTCCAAGTGAACCAGAGTGATGTAGTGTGAGGAAGCCACTGGAAGTAGTGCCCTTTTCACATGTGATGAAGATGTGTGAAATGTGCGGTAAACATGTGCCTGACTTACCTTCCTAGGTGGGTGTGACAGGTTTGAGAAATGAATCTTGATAAGTGTTGTGAGTGCAAAAGCAATTTCGCAATGACCTCAAGGGGGCAAGTGTATCATTAGTGTAGGGTGAGTGTACCGCTGCAAGTGAAGATGGTGCAGGTCTTGACCACAGGGGTCATGAACTCTTTTGTTGTTGTGTTGGGAACGGGAAGCATTTTTTTACGACAGCATAGGTCAGCGCCTGACCTTTTTTAAAGGACAATCAGCAACAGCTATCTAACTTGCAGGTATCTGTTTACTGCTAGGCGAAGAGAAGCATCCGATAAAAGGATACACCTGTATTCAAATGCCTCCGTTCTGGGTGGGAATCGAACCTGGGACCTTTTGGACGTGAACCCATTGTGCTGCTAACTGCAGGACTATTGTGACACAGTGAGGATTGTAAAGGGGTAAGCAAACTGACACATGAGTTGTGATGAGCATGAGTGTACCAACACAAGGGTTGTGATGAGCATGAGTGTACCAACACAAGGGTTGTGATGAGCATGAGTGTGCCAACACAAGGGTTGTGATGAGCATGAGTGTACCAACACAAGGGTTGTGATGAGCATGAGTGTACCAACACAAGGGTTGTGATGAGCATGAGTGTACCAACACAAGGGTTGTGATGAGCATGAGTGTACCAACACAAGGGTTGTGATGAGCATGAGTGTACCAACACAACGGTTGTGATGAGCATGAGTGTGCCAACACAAGTTTTGTGATGAGCATGAGTGGACTAACAAAGGGCTTATGGGTGATTTAAATACACGACCAAATGTGGATGACATGGCTGTCATCCAGGCTGTGGATGACAGGCTGTGGATGACATGGAGGACATTGTCAATGAACAACTCTTCAGTCTTCAATGACCGAAGGAGTGGTAGGAATTACATATTTCTTTTGTCTGATCATGATGGCTATGTCTACTGGGAATCTTACCTTTTAACACTTATTTAAACTCTGAGTTCAGTGAGTTGTTCGCTACTGAATGTCTCAAGGTGTACCATCAGGTCTCTGACTTCATCCTGAGTGAAGGTATCTTTGACCCAGGAGACAAAGGTGGCGCTGGTGGATTCTATGAGGGAAATCTGCCAGTTCGTCAGACGTGTGAGACAATGGCACTAGTGTGTGTTACTGTGTGGCAGGTCAGCAGATGGTGGAGGGTGGCAATCAGCGTGAACTTTTTGACAACCATGACCCTGCAGCGTGCTGAAGGTAAGGAACCCTTCTCTGCAGTCAGCAGGTGTCACATGTGTATATACGTCATATGTGTGTTCTGAGGCAGCATCGCATGGCCTCTCATACTGCTCAGAACTACTTCTGTTGTCATACTGTGACGCAGGAGGCGACCTCATCCGGGGTTCCTGTTGATCACTGCCTCCAGGTCTAGTTGGGTTTCCCAGGTTAATTGGTGGGGGACACGCAGGTGGAGGAGGAAGAAATGCAGCCCAGTTGACCTGTACGCCAGAGTCATCACTATGGTGTTGCCAGGGAGTGCCGTGGGTCATACAGGGTGATGGAGGAGCCAATAATGCTGTGGTGGCATACGGTTCCGTCATTGTATCGTTATGTACACGTGGCTCTGCGTACTCGTTCACGAGTTGGTCTGGACGCACGAGTCGCGCTGATGACAAACTAGAATCTTTGTCACTCTCTGAAGGATGCCATAATTTTTGCTCGCTGTACATGTTGACTGAATGATGGTCTGGGTAGATGGATGCGTCTTGGTAGAGGGTAGGTGTCTGAGGTGATGTGGAAGGGGGTGCTTTTTGACGCAAGTGCTTTACATACAACAAGGTGACCACCAGCACCAATAGTACTAAGGGAACTAGTAAGTACATCAACCACTCTGGCTGTGGTGAAGCATACATTACAGAACTACTACTATCATCATCCTTATTGACCCTCTGAATGCTGTGGGCATCACTGGGCCCAGCATCGAGCAGGACAGGGTCACTGAAGGGCCCAGGACCTGCGCCCGTGACGGCTGCCACGCGCACAGTGTAGAGGCGGCCAGGCAAGAGGCTGCGGGCCTCCAGCCAGGGGCTTGCCACCGTCTCTGTGGTCTGGCTACCATTGTGGCTTATTGTTACCTGGTAACCCACCAGGTCCCCGCGGGCTTCCTCGGCACTCACACTCGCCCACCTGATGAGTACAGAGCCTTCCTCATGCACCGTGATGTGCACATCCTTAGGAGCAATCGCAGGAACTGTGAGCAAAAAACCAACATATTGTGATACAAATATTTGTACATAAATTTCATAATGTCAAAGATATGGATTAAATATGCTAGTACAATTATAACTATAAACGATGTACAAGGTTTGATGAAACAGAAAATTTAAGCAACTTACCATCCTCAGATGTAGTGAGTGAGCGAGAGTTGGAGGGTGTGCCCTCAACACTGTGCCAGAAAGGGACAATGAAAAAGGTGTAGGGGGTGTTGGGACTCAAGTCATGCAAAAGGTGGGATGAAGATGATGCACCCAGGACAGTAGCCACCTGCACGGTGCCCACCTCTGCTATGGAGTACACCAACACGCCCTCCACAGCTCCATCTGTTGGGGCCAGGAAGTCCCAGGTGAGCAGGACACTGTCAGGTGCCGTGATGGCGGCATCAGTGAGGGTGACAATAGGCCGAGCAAGGCGGCGCCGGGCTTGGCGGACCTGGTTGACAGTAAGGTTGGGATCACGAGGAGAGCGGGTGGTGACTGGATCTGACCAAGGACTTGGAAATGACTGTCCTATGTTGTTAACAGCACGGACTAGAAAAGTGTAGGTGTGTCCAGGTGTGAGACGACTCACCACACACGACTCCTTGATTATGATGGCATCAGCCACTCGCCATTCATCCCAGCCCTGCCTCCAGTACTCTACTGTGTACCACTGACCAGACTCCCCACTCACTTGAGAGTTAGGAAGCCAACTCAGCTGTACTGCTGTTTGGTTCATTGCCATAAGACGGGGCTTTGTGGGAGGAGCTGGTAACAGTAATGGTTTAAGGATGTGAGCATCACGCTCTACCTTCAGTACAGCTGCTTGTTCCACAGTGCCAGTGTTTGCCATAGCACGGCACGTATATATGCCTGCATCATCTAGATGCACATTCTTGAGAATCAGGGCACCATTCTCTTGGAGAGAGATCCGGGGGTCATCAGAGTCCTGGGAAAGTTGGCGGGACGGCAAATGAACAGCCGGTCTGTACCACCAGGAAATGGTAGCCTCAGCGGCCTCACTCACTACCTCACATGGAAAAGAGGCAGTACTTCCTGGGGCAACCATAAGATCTCTGGGCTCAGTGCCCATCACAGGTGGTGGAAGGGCTGACACCACTACAACTTCTGCCTGCCCTCTTACACCGCCACCACTGCTAACACCCCAGCAATAGTAAGTACCACTGTCCTCAGTAGCTGCATTCTCCAACAGGAGGTGGTGTCCATCATCAGACACAGAGGTATGACCCCTTGACAGGCCTGTGGTGAGGAGGGCCGTTCTGTCTAGTGTGGGCAGACGCCACAACACCAATGGCTGAGGCTCACCCTTCATGCGGCATGAAACCTTTGCTCTTTCACCAACCATAACTTGAAGGTTCTGTGGTGCATCAGCCAGCTCCGGAGCATCAACGATGGTGACAGTTGCCTGTGCTATAGCAATTCCCGCCTCATTCTCCACTTCACACACATATATGCCTGAGTCAGCAACTGTCACCTGTTGCAACACCAGACGTTGTTGCATTTCTTCCATTTTGACTCGTCCCAGTGGCATCTTGCCATCCAGCCGCCGCCATGTCACTGTGGGAACTGGAGATCCTTGTGTCCGACATATCAGAACTACCACCACTCCTGACGGAGCAGTCACATTGGCTGGCTTCTCCTCAAATAGCGGTGGAGCTGAGGATGGAATTTGTTTGTATTATGGCAACTGCGTGGCTAATATGTTCACATTACATAGTTTTAAGTTGATATATTTTGTAAACATATATGAAACTGATCTGTATTAAAGCATTAGGAAACTGTTAAATCACAAAATTATAACATAAGTGTAGTTGCGATGAAAATGGTGGGTTGAAGAGTGCACATATATATGGCGATGATGAAGATAAATGTTGATTGTCTGTAAGGCCTTCAATATGTAAAGCTTACAATGGCTTTTATTTGAATAAATCGCTCACGCCTGCAGGCAAAAAGTAATTTCTAGTCAAAAAAAAGGTGAGTGGAATTATATCATATAGAGGTAAATAAAGTACAATAACTATATTTAAACACTTACTCATTATTGTGAGTTGAGTTGGAGAAGACTCCCTGGTCCCAGCAGCATTACGGGCTCGACACACGTAGGCTGCAGAGTCTTCCTGGACGGCCTGGCTGATGACCAGGTCTCCAGCCTCAGTGACGCTGACACGACTGGAGTTGGTCACCTGCCGGCCGTCCCTCAGCCAGGTCAGCTCAGGCGGAGGAGTGGCTTTGGGCGGCCGGCATGGAAGGCTGACAGAGTCACCTACCCTGGCCTTCACCGTGGGCTCTGCCTGGCTCTGGAAGTCATACGCAAGGGTGGCCACGGTCAGTGTGGCATTGTGGGAGCGTGTAGTGCCGTAGCTATTGGACGCCACGCACCAGTAGGTGCCTGTGTCACTGTCCTTCCTGGTGGCAGTAACACGGAGGAAGAAGAGGGAACCAGAGGGCAGGAGGACACGGTGGGAGCGAGGGTCTTGTGTTGAGGTGACGACCTCTTCTCCGTCACGGAACCACCTGACGCGGGCGGCACCAGAGGCGGCACAGTTGAGGGTGGCGGGGTCGTTGCGGCGAGCCACCACATTACTGGGGTGCTCCTTGATCACTGGTGGCCCTTCTGTAAAAGAAAGATTCCATGTTAATAGGCGCCCGCCTGCAACAACGTCCCATTTCGCAGTTCCCATTGCAGGTGCATGATAAATGTGATACAGAAACATGTCACTATCCTGCAAGGGCATGATCCCATTTGCTGACCTTTATTAACATGTTATTCACTGCTGGTATTAAGGCAAATGCTCAAACTTAGAAAAATGTTTGAAATAAAATAACGCAAGAAAAAATTTCAATAAGATGGCCATAGTTTTCAGCACTTTTTATTTCAAATGTGTTTAGCAAAGAAAATAAATATGTTCTGAACGATGGATCAGAGTAATGGGATTATTGATAGTTTAGGGGGATTTGCATCCGTCATACCTGCGTGATACCTGCTTGATGGGGTTCTAGGAGTTCTACTCGTCAAGCCCGGCCTGAGGCCAAGCTTGACTTGTGACAGCTTGATCCAACAGGCTGTTGCTTTGAGCTGCCCGCAGGCCCACATCCACCACAGCCTATTGGTTCGACACTTCTTGAAGAAAACTATTTAGTTTTCTCTTGAAGATGCCCACGGTTGTTTCGACAATATTTCTTATTTTTGCTGGGAGGATGTTGAACAACCGCGGACCTCTGATGTTTATACAGTGTTCTCTGATTGTGCCTATGGCACTCCCGCTCTTCACTGGATTTATTCTGCCTTTTCATCCATATCGTTTACTCCAGTATGATATTATTTTACTGTATATATTTAGTACCTGGCCCTCCAGTATTTTCCACGTGTATATTATTTGATATCTCTCTCGTCTCCTTTCTAGTGAGTACATTTGGAGAACTTTGAGACGAACCCAATAGTTTCGGTGCTTTATCGCGTGCGTCTATGTTTGTCGTATATGTCCTCTGTATTCCCTCTATTTCAGCAATCTCTCTTGCTCTGGAGGAGAAAGTGAGTACTGAGCAGTACTCAAGACGGAACAACACAAGTGATTTGAAGAGTACAGCCATTGTGATGGGATCCCTGGATTTGAAAATTCTCGTAATCCATCCTATTATTTTTCTGGCTGACGCAATATTTGCTTGGTTATGCTCCCTAAACGTAGGTCGTCAGGCATCATTATTCCCAGATTAGTTACACGCTGTTTTCCTACTATGGGCACATTTGATTGTGTTTTGTACTCTGTATTATGTTTAAGGTCCTGATTTTTACTGTACCTGAGTACCTGGAATTTATCACGGTTAAACATCATGTTATTTTCTGCTGCCCAGTCGAAAACTTTATTAATAACTGCATGTAGTTTTTCAATGTCTTCAACAGAGGTAATTTTCGTGCTGATTTTTATGTCATTTGCAAAAGATGATACGAAGCTGTGCCTTGTACTTTTGTCTATATATATGATATGAGAATAAGGAAAAGCAGTGGTGCAAGGACTGTACCCTGAGGTACCAAGCTTTTAATTGCACTTGGACTCGATTTTATTTGGTGGATACTATTTGTTTTTTGTTCGGTGGGTTGGCTGGATTGCAACATGCAATCCAGTATGCCTGGTCAGTTCAGGCGGTCAGTTAAAACACTGAAGGACTGGCGATAAACAAATCAGAATAGTTTGTGCTATTTAACCCTTACACCGCTACTGTCGCTATCTGTAATTACCTCCAATGCTTAAATTGTCATGTTACTTTTTTTACCATTAGATTTGGTAACTGCCTTTAAACAGGCGTACCTCGATGTATTACTTTTAAAATAGCTGTACCACTTAGGGGTAAATAGTACACAAGCACACGAGCGCTGCCACCTATAGACTCAGGAAATAGAGCCTGAGTCTCCCCAGGTAAAAGCCTCTCACTCCAGACATAAAGAGTTGATGCCGGAGAGCGGTCAGTCTAATATCAAATGTCTAATATCGTTGTTATGTTAAATAACCCAAACCACATATATCAGAAGCTGAGAATGTCACGATGCTTCAGTCCGTCCAGGGTCTTTATCAAGTCCTGGACCCTTATCAAGTCCTGGGCCCTTATCAAGTCCTGGACCCTTATTAAGTCCTGGGCCCTTATCAGGTCCTGGACCCTTATCAAGTCCTGGACCCTTATCAAGTCCTGGGCCCTTATCAAGTCCTGGACCCTTATCAAGTCCTGGGACCTTATCAGGTCCTGGACCCTTATCAAGTCCTGGACCCTTATCAAGTCCTGGGATCTTATCAAGTCCTGGGCCCTTATCAAGTCCTGGGCCCTTATCAAGTCCTGGACCCTTATCAAGTCCTGGGTCCTTATCAAGTCCTGGACCCTTATCAAGTCCTGGGCCCTTATCAAGTCCTGGACCCTTATCAAGTCCTAGGCCCTTATCAAGTCCTGGACCCTTTTCAAGTCCTGGACCCTTATCAAGTCCTGGACTCTTATCAAGTCGTCCATTATTAAGTCGTAACTGACTTCATTTCATATAATGTTTACTTCATATTATTAACTAAGGCGTGTGAACATACGGTTTCACCCATCACTGAAGATGTCTTAGTGAGTGTTCGGTAGAGAAATTGCTGATTACTTAATTCAATGAGTAATGCATGATTTACCGGAAGCTGCACAGCGGCCTGCGAGCAGAGGGGCAGTTTCATTGGCACTAAGAAAGGAATTGCCTCATAATTGGATACAGTGGTCCAAGTCCTCGACACACACACGCGAGGATCACGGGTTCGATCTCCAAACGGGGCGGATATGGTCGGGCAAATGTCCTTTCTCCAGAAGCATACCTGGTGGGTGTGTGCTTAAGCATACCAGCGGTTTCCTTTCGCCTGGTGTGTCTGTTCACCCAGCAGTAAATAGGTACCAGGGATTTAGAGAACTGTTGAGGGTTGCATCCTGGGGCAGGTCAGCAGTTGGCCTGGAGATTCCTCGATTTGCCTAGGTACAGGCTGCCTGTTTCCACAACAGGGGTACATGTGCTCTGTAAAGTTTCCTCTACCTGGATTGTACCTAGATGTGGTTCTGAGAGTTCTTCTACTCCCCGAGCCCGGCCGGGGGCCAGGCTTGACTTGTGAGAGCTTGGTCCAACAGGCTTGGAGCGGCCCGCAGGCCCAATGTCCACCACAGCTCGGTTCGTCTGGCACCTCTTCCAGGAAACTATCCAGTTTTTGTTTTCTTAAAAGATTTTCATTTTACTTCAATATTTCTATGTTCTTACATTCCACGTTTAACAGTTATTCAATATTAGCAGTTATTAGCAGTCTCCGTGGTGTAGTGGTAAGACACTCGCCTGGCGTTCCGCGAGCGCTGTCATGGGTTCGTATCCTGGCCGGGGAGGATTTACTGGGCGCAATTCCTTAACTGTAGCCTCTGTTTAACGCAACAGTAAAATGTGTACTTGGATGAAAAAACGATTCTTCGCGGCAGGGGATCGTATTCCAGGGACCATAGGATTAAGGACTTACCCGAAACGCTACGCGTACTAGTGGCTGTACAAGAATGTAACAACTCTTGTATATATCTCAAAAAAAAAAAAAAAAAGTAACACTTGAACATCGTGCCACCACCGATGTTCAACTGTTGTTCACGTGGTTGTGCACAAGATGTTATACACACGGACTTCGCAAAGGCATTTAATAAATGTGACCGTGGAGTGACAGCCCATAAATTGAGGACAATGGCAATAACAGATAAAGTAAGACGATGGATATCCAGTTTCTTGTCAAACTGAATTCAAAGAGAATCAAGTCCAAGCACAGTGAAAAGCTCTCTACCTCCGGGCCTTGCACCGCTGCTTGTTCTTATTCTCATATCAGATATAGATAAAATACAAATCACAGATTCGTGTCATCTTTTGCACATGGCACAAAAATCAGCATGAAAATTACTTGTAAGATACACAAGCTGATATTAATAAAGTTTTTGATTGGGAAGCGGAAAATAACATGATGTTTTTAACCAACCGATTCTCAGGGTGAAATGATTACATGGAGATACCAACCTCTCTATCAGACTACCTGGATAGTTATCTTGATATTCGCGATGGTCTGAAAGTATATTACCGTTACAATAATGGTCGGCTGTACGTGTAAATAGGCAAGGGGATCTTTGACTTAATCATAGAATATTCTCAAGTTCTAATTGTATTGTATTATAAATCTTGGGATTAAGGAACAAAATGTCAATGGTAAGCTAGTTTTCTTTGATAAGCCCTATGGCGTAGGTTTCCTTTAATGTCATAGTTTAGGGGATACTCAAATAGTTTTTGAATTTCCTATTTCACATACTTGGAGAGAGGGTGTTTTCTCACATGTCTGAGAATTATAGTAATAACCTAACCTAACCTAACCTAACCTTAATCTAGCCATAAACAGGGAGTAGATTATAGCGTTAAATATGAAGTGGTTATTAATGATTACCTCGAGGGTACGTAACCCCCTGAGGGCAGGTTGTGTTTAACAATGATAAATTTCAGATAATTAGGTGTGGATAGTTACCTTAAATGAAACATACACACACACACACGCCTCAGTTGAAAGGCGGAGCCAAAGAGACAAAACTCAACCCCTGCAAGCACAATTAGGTGAGTACACATATATACACACACATCTGGGAGGTGAAATCCTGCAAAAGTCAAATAGAGAGAAAGATCTGGGGGTTGATATCACACCGAACCTGTCCCCAGAGGCGCAAATCAAAAGGATATCATCAGCGGCATATGCTAGGTTAGCCAACATAAGAACTGCCTTTAGAAACTTGTGTTGAGCTACAATGAAAGGCTAAAGGAGTTGAACCTCACGTCTTTGGAAAACAGAGGAGTGAGGGGAAACATGATAACCACCTACAAAATTCTCAGGGGATTGACAGAGTGGACAAAGACAAACTCTTCAGCACGGGTGGAACACGAACAAGGGGACACAGGTGGAAACTTAAGTCCCCAGATGAGCCACAGAGACGTTAGAAAGAACTTTTTCAGTGGCAGAGTAGTTAATGAATGGAATACACTAGGAAGTGATGTGGTGGAAGCTGACTCCATACACAGTTTCAAATTTAGGAATGATAGAGCCCAGT